GCTCTGGGATGCTATTGCAAAACTCCAGTTTCAGAAGAAAGCACCCAGAGGGCGGCCTCCAGACATGACCTGCCCCACCCGGATGTTTCCAGGAGTGTTTTTCTCAGCAACTCTCGTCATCTTAGGGGCTGGGGGACAGGCATCAGGGACATGGAAAATCAAGGGTGATTTGGGGTGAGAAATATTTTGAAGTTGAAACTCCTGTTTACAGTTCCTTTATTCCTGAACACCAGAGGGCACCACAGTCATATGGAATGGTGGGTTAGCCTTGCTTTAGGATTGAAATCCTGGCACCCAACTTTTTTATTCTTTTTAAGTTTAAGAACTAAGAAGTGCTGAATTGAATATTTATTCATTTGAATATTTTGCTCAGACTGCTAAGAAAATTGCAGAGGAGGCTTTTGGGGTCATTTGCTGGATGTTCATGCCCAGGGCCCAGGGCAGGGGGCCTGTGGGGCAGCACTGGTTGCCTGCCCTCCCACCCAGTCCTGTGATTGTCCAGCTCTGATCGGCTCTGCGGCAGGGCTGGGACCGTGTCCCAGGTCAGAGATACCTTGCTCAGGGCCCCAGCTCATTACTTCGTGGCTCATCCTTTTAACCTGGCTCTGTGAGTTGTTCCACTTCGCATCTGGGGGTGAGGCCTGGCCCTGGGAGAATGGAGGATTCCCCAGAGGAGGGTCGAAGGATTGCTGGGGTCGCACTGTTGTTGCTCAACAGCACTGGGGCTTCGGCAACAGGGGCCAGTTGACCAGGGTGTGTGGCTAGGGTGTTGAACAGTTTCCCACTGATGCCCTCTGGTAGCTTCCCTTTGACAACAGAGCATTTATGGTTCTGGAGAAATATAGAAAAGTTTCTATAGGCTCCTAAAAGGCTGTGGAAGAAGCAGGAGCAGAGCCACTGGGGGCATGGGAGGCTTGGTGGGTGCTGGGGGCCCTGTGAAGGGGTGGCTGGCTGATCTCCAGGGAGACCTGAGGCCTGGGAGGAGAGCCCACGTGGGAGAGGTGCCCTGCCAGAGGGGGGCAGCAGAGGGGAATGCTACCAGCACCATAGCCTGTCCAATCGTGAGTGTTGGGGCCCCAAGGGTGTGTATGTATGCTTGTAGAAGAATCTGCACTAGATGACACAACTCATTCAGATAGGGGCTTTTCTATTCTCACCTGTGTGTGGGACAGGCCACTCAGCATTACTCAGCAGAGAGCAAGACTGTTCTTAGCAACAGCATGTTGTAAATAGCAAAGGAACACTTGCTCTGCAGGAAAGCAGAGGATCTTGCAGACCAGAGGCCCTACTAGTTAGTTGACGGCAATTTAGTAAGCCTTGGCTGCTCATATGAAAAAGAAAACTTCAACAAAATGAGGGGAGAATGTATGTCTATAAAAGAGAGTATGGGGGCCTCGCTGTGACCTCCACGAGCAAGTTGAAACATTCCACCGAGAAGATCCACTGTGGATACTGGGAATTCGTGCAAAGCCATGATCTGCTTGGTGCAGTGGGCCCAGAAGGCAGGCAGAGGGACTGCCCTGCTTCCAAGACCAGAGGCCACTGCGGGGACTGTCTGGCTATGAGGGGTTCCCTTTGCTATTAACAATTTGCTTGCTTATTCAGCCTTTTTATTTAACTGGGATCAAGAAGGACATAATTTGGTAGCAGATCACTGGGATTCCAGTTCCAGATTTGTGACCCTCATGACTGATGTTCATGCTTGGCAGAAGTCACATGATCACACCTAACAGGTTACCTTTCTTAAAATGGGCACCTATTAATAGTATCAAACAATGTATATGACCTGTGAAAGCACTTAGGAAATGATCCAGTGTGATGTAAGTGGTGTTATGAATCTCAGGAAGGAATCTTTAGCATTTCCTTCTCTATCAAATACATGTCTGTTTCTTGGGCTGAGTGAGGCTCCATTTGAAAGAGGGCTTAGAGTTAAGATACAAACATATCTTCAGGCCCACGCTGTTACCATCACCAAACAAATAGGATTGGAAAGTATTTTGGGTTCTCGGTACTCACGGTTTTGTAGGCTGCTTAGCCACATTCAGGCAACAATTTCCAGAACAACCTCCGTATTAGAAACCCCACTAAAAAAGACTTTTGTCCTGAGCAGGGAGTACTGTCCTTGCTTTTGTATTCTACCTTTTTTTAAAGTTAACATTAGAGACATCTTAGGCTAATTGGAAAGGGAATAACTACTGGCAAAATCAGGGCTCAAGGTTCTGTTTACATTTTGTCAAACAAATACATCTGTTTGACCTGAAGTCTCCTTGGTTTATTACAGCAATTGCTTACTATAAGTAAGCAACAAGGTGTTTAAATTTTACGCATGTGAAATACATATTATGTTTCCTAGCAGGGGCCAAGACTCAGTCAATATTTTTTTTCTGTAGCATTGTTCTCAGACTCTGAGCTTTACTTAAGCAAAAGTTTACTTAACAAAAGGAAGCAAGTTCTTAACCTTGACACTAGAGCTGTGAGTTGAGCTTCATCAGTGAACAGGCTTATTGGTAGTTCCTTGTTTAAGGCCATTACCTCAATGTTTTTCTTGAGCTTTTACACACGCACCACTTGGCACAGTCACAGACTGATAAGCAAGGGAATATAGCACGCGGCAGTCCACTGGAATTACAGGCTCCTAAAGCAAAGCTCTGTAATGGGTGACAGCTTGAGCTATGGAATCAACCAGCCAGATTTCAAAGCCAGAGTCCACTCTTTACTGGCTGGTCACCTTGGGCAATTCATTCAACCTCCTCAATCTCAAATTCCTTCTCTAAAAAATGAGGGCATAAAAATATCCACTTTATACATTTTTTTTGTTTTGTTTTTTGAGATGGAGTTTTGCTCTTGTTTCCCAGACTGGAGCGCAATGGCGTGATCTCGGCTCACTGCAACCTCTGCCTCCCGGATTCAGGTGATTCTCCTGCCTCAGCCTCCTGAGTAACTGGGATTATAGGCGCCTACCACCATGCCCAGTTAATTTTTTGTATTTTTAGTAGAGACAGGTTTCATCATGTTGGCCAGGCTGGTCTTGAACTCCTGACCTCAGGTGATCCACTAGCTTCGGCCTCCCAAAGTGCTGGGATTACAGGCATGAGCCGCTGTGCCCGGCCCACTTTATACATTTTAGGGCTTTAAATGAGATAATCTAGTTAGTGTTAGCTATGATAACTATCATCATCATCATCATCATCACTGCCTCTTAGTCTCCCAAAATACCCAGTATAGTGCCTTGCTCTGTGATAAAGAGGGAGCAATTTCCATTTGTTATGGAACTCATTCCATCCACTGATGCATTTTAAATTTGGAATGAAATCTATCAGGATTACACATTCAAATTCTTAAAGCTTTTCCAATGTACTCAGTTCCCATTTGAGGGGTCAGGGGGAGAGTACCTTCTTAAAAATTTTCAAAATACTTCAATCCTAGAAAATAATCTATGTATATAATAGTTCTTTGCCAGGCATGGTGGTTTTCACACCTGCAATCCCAGCACTTTGGAAGTCCAAGGCAGGCAGATCACAAGGTCAGGAGATCAAGACCATCCTGGCCAACATGGTGAAACCCCATCTCTACTAAAATACAAAAAATTAGCCAGGAGTGGTGGCACGCACCTGTAGTCCCAACTACTCAGGAGGCTGAGTCAGGGGAATTGCTTGAACCCAGGAGGTGGAGGTTGCAGTGAGCCAGGATTGTGCCGCTTCACTCCAGCCTGGTGACAGAGCGAGACTCTGTCCAAAAAAAAAAATGACTTGACCTATGCTTAAGAAATAAAAATGTTCTTGGATATGCTTTCTTGAATTAAACTGAATTTTATTTTGTGTTTTATCACAAGGATACCATTATCTTCAGTAAATGTTTTCTTGGAAAACCCAGGCAGTGGTAAATTCCTCCAGAGAGCTGCTGGTTGGCAGGTGTTTTCCACATTACCTAACTGGAGAACTGTCAGCGCTCAGATCTCTCTGACGTGGGGTAAACGGTGGCTCTTACCCCAAGCAGCTCTATAGAACCACCCCAGGAGCCTTGAAAAGTACACAAGCCCAGCCCCACTGAGCCAGATTTTTGCTTTGGGATAGTCTGGGTGGGCCCCAGGTGTCAGAATTCTTAAAATCTTTTCAAGTGTTTCTAGAGAGAGTTATAGTCTAGTTCTCCCTGCTTAGCCTTCTATAATTCTATGTTTTCTACATGTTTATAGATTTCGGAGAGAATTAAAATTCTCTCCCCTTTGTAACTTCTCTTTAAAAGGGACTTTTTAAAAACTTTGTAAAGTGATACAACATAATAGGAATTACCCAGTTTGTTCTTCTGAAGTATATAAGTACTTAGTTTTACAGAAGAATTGGCAGAATTGTTCAGTAGCTACCTCTGAGATACTGGCGTGGTAGTGACGGCTTTTTCATTTTACACAATCAAAGCAGCCACCTGTATTTTCCCTTTCCAAAGTACGTTAACACAATGAATCTTGACCAGATGATTTATCTCTTTGAAATTTACAAAGTGATGGCTTGAGTTCCATATATTGTAATAATAATAAATGATACAGAGAAGTAGTAAAAATAATAATACTAGTAATAATAATACCTTTGTTCATCATTTCCTTGCACATCACATGTTCAAAACGAGTTGTGTTTGAGCCTGCTGAGATATGAAATTTAAAAGAAAGACTATGTATCTTAATGCTTATGTGTTAGACAGTTTCGGCTGAATATTCAGATAATTCATCTGGTACCTGCTGCAGACTCTGTGCTGGTGCACCAGTCATTTCTTAAAATAACCCTAACCACATGTGTCAACTGAAAGAGGTGTATAAAAGGTCCTTAGGAGCCCCTAAGGGAACAGTGAAGACCCCATAAATAGAGGAAACAAGGATAATAGCCTGTAAAACCCTCTTCCCCATCATAGTTCTATCGTCAGTTTCCTACCTCACAGATAGGACTCTTTCATTCAATCTTGGAAGATCTACTAAGTTCTCTTTTTCAAAACATAAATGATCCACTTGGAAATGCTTTTACAATACATTTAGTGCATTTTGAATCAAGGAACTGTTTAATGTGCTTACCATGAGTAATTTCCTTTTACAAACATCATTTGAAACTCATCATTTCTAGAAAGCCTCACCTGGTTACGTGGAATATGATCCCATTGATCTCTGGCTGTATCTTTTGATGATATATTGGAAGCCGTATGCTTATAGGCATGTAATGACGTCCTATGTATGACAGCACACATCAGAATGTCCCTTCAATTTCTCCGACTTAAGCACATAGGACCTTTGAACATGCTCTTCCACCTGCTTGGAATATATTTGCTTCTACCAGCAACTCCTTTAGCTAGCTCTTTTCAGATAAAGAACTAGATAAAGCACTAGTTGCCCAGTTGTTTTTGTTCAGGGAAGCTTTCTCTGATCTTCAACTGTTCACTGATTCTATGTTCTTATAGCATCTCTCCAAAGTCTCACTTTTCCACTTTTTGAGTGACCATTTTGATTTTTCTCTGCCTGTCTCAGAGGCTGTAACTCTTTGACTCACACACTCAGGGTCTGTGTTGACTTTTGTTATCAGCATATTTCTAGCACTTAGTCCAGTGCTCGAATTCAATAGGTGACTAATTGTTGGATGAATACTGCGCTTTCTCTTTGAAACACAGCTACAGTTCCACTTTGCTGAAGCGTTTTGCACTACTTAACTTTTTGAAACTAACGTTCCATGTAATACTTTAAAACAAAGATTAATGGTTAAGGAGAGTGATTAATTGTGTAAAACGACTTTTACTAAAAGTGTTTCTTATTAGATTAAATTTGAAACATAAACTAAAACATAAGTTTTTAAAAGCTACTCATAAGTTCACCATATTTATATAGGAACAATTTTCATTTCATCAAAGGACACTGTCCTTAAGCTGAAGTGATGCTGGAACTTGGGTATTTAGTTCTGAATTTGTTTGTTTTTCTTCTCCTTCTTCGTGTTTCTTCTTCTTGTTTTTCTGTGATGATGGGCTGCTTCATAAACTCTGGCTGGCAATCTGAAGGTATCTAAAAAAACAGTGCCCTCTAGAGGCGAGAGTGCTCTGAATCATTCACGCAAAATTACCTGAAGCTTGACTTCTTGTCTTGGTAAGCAGCACACTTAAACTACTCCTTCAGCCCCCAGGACCCCACTGTGCCAAATTCGGGAATAAAACCTGCCTAATGTAAGACTTTTTCAGTCTGTAGGATCTTACTCGAAATCATAGGAATTATTGTGTCACAAGACTTTTTAATGTCTGTGAGAGTGTGAGCATTGCTTTAGCAAGAGATGCCTTAACCCTTAAAACCACCTCAGTCAGTATTGTGACTCAGTGCCTCTTAACTAGAAGAGTGTTAAATATGCAGATTTGAAAATATTGAGTTAATAAATAGCGAGCGATTAAAGTTTCCCCTTATTAATGTTGCATGGTCTTTCCAGTAATTTTAAATCAGCTGATCAGTACTAGCCTTAAACCAAAAAGAAAATAAAGTTTGAAGGAACCCATTTCATATGTCAGGAGATGAGCTTATTCCTTAATGGAGAGTCCTGGCGGAGATTCTGGAGTCAGTTCCTCAGTGGTGTCTGGTTGAACCAAGCACCAGTCAACAAAGGATCAAAAGTGGGATGTGGCATATGTTTTAGTATCATTTCATGCCTTGTAATTGCAAGCTTTACAGTCATGCATGTTTTATTCTCTTTGTTGTATTTTCCAGAGGGATAACCAATTGGCTGACAGAGTAACAAATGAAAAGTAACCTGACTCTATTGACCTGCTTAACCCCGCAAGGGGGAAGGATGGAAAGGAGCAACTGTTTGCTTTAAAACAGTGGAACAGGTATGGAACAGCCGCTTTTGTTGTTGCCTTCTTTTATTTCCTTGCACATCTACTTCCAGACCAGTTGAAAACAGCAAGTTGTTCCTGTTTGCGGACACAGAATCAGGGCTCGGGGTTCCAGGAACAGGTACCGGGGATTACTAGTAACATTCTAAGTTGCCCCATCTTCAGGTTGCCGTTTATATAAGGACCAGTGCAATGAAAAGACCATTGTTTTCTCTTCTTTCTCGCTCTCTCTCTCTTTCTCTCTCTCTCTCTTTCTTTCTTTCCTTCTTTCTTTCTCTTTCTCTTTCCTCCCTTCTTTCTTTCTTTTTTTTTTTTGAGACAGAGTCTCACTCTGTGGCTCAGGCTGGAGTACAGTGGCGTGATCTCGGATCACCACAACATCCGCCTCCCTGGTTCAAGCGATTCTCCTGCTTCAGCCTCTTGAGTAGCTGGGATTACACGCACCCACTACCACGGCTAATTTTTGTATTTTTAGTAGAGACAGGGTTTCACCATGTTGGCCAGCCTGGTCTTGAACTCCTGACCTTGGCTTCCCAAAGTGCTGGAATTACAGGTGTGAGCCACCATGTTCAGCTGAGACCATTGTTTTCAAATAGCAAATAAGCCATCATGCTAGGGAGAATTATTACTTTTAAATATAGGATTTCTATTTTGGATGTGCATTTAGCTTTAAGATACATTATTTGGGCTTATGGGAATTTTGTTTCATTAAATGAATTTCTATGGAGGAATCATAGAAGTAATGACAAAATGGTAAAGCATGTTGATTTTCCCAGTGAATGCCATAGAAAGTGTGTTTGCTGTGTTTAATGATCTAATCTCCTCTGCCCACATTCATTTTCTCAGTTGTGAAAGGACTCTGCCAAGAAAGGCATTGACTTTTTCAATTTTTTCAAAATGCACATAATAGATATAGGTGAAGTTTCTTTTGTTTTGAAAGGAAGACTTCATTTCAACATGAAAAATTTAGATCAGCACTCTTAAGACCACTGGAATTAGAACCTTTAAAATTTCTGTTCATTTTGAGTCAGTGCTTATTGTCACTGGGGGGCTGTACCTTCTTTCAGTTACATTCATTATCAAGAGGCACGTGATACCTGGTTTGGTAGTCACTCTATAGAGGTCAATGCTTTTTGTAATATTAATGGCTTTGTCGTGCAGCTAGAAAGTAATTTTAAGTTCAGAAGATTAATATCATGTATTGGATGTTCAAAATTAAATCACTTAATGACTTTGCTCAACAAGATTTTTCTCCCCATTGGATGCTTGATAAATGAGGAACTATAAATAAATAATAAAGACTTGAAATTTGCATAGAAATATTATAATTCAAAAGGTTACAGGAAAAAAGGGAGTTTTAAGAGTTGCACTTTAGATAAGGAATTTAAAAAAGGTTATGGCTCCACTATTTAAGGTTACTTAAGGAAGAGTTTTTTATGTTATTATGTTCTTAGGACATAACATCTTTACACCATTAAGGGTTTCAATGTATTACTCTATTGAATCTGAAACTAAATATCATAGAAATCAATAATATATGAAGAATCTGGTTTCTAGCTTAACAGGGAGGCAGAAAAAGTAGTGTGTTGTTGCTGCTCGAGGCACAAAGCAACCTTATGGTCTTTTGGTTCCTTCATGTTTCAGTCTATAGAGTCAGCCAATGACTACCCACATTGACCAACTATCTTTTGCTTGCATCTTAGCATAATGCAAATGGACTTTTTAAAAAAAGTTTCTTCATTAAAGATGTTGTCTGTCTAAAAGGGAATCTTTGAGAATAGGGCAAAAGAAGATGAAACACAATAAACTGTCTATACCACCCATTCTGAATATTGATCAATCCATATCATAAAACAAGTTGGCTACTGGATTTTGTTTAGCAGGAATAGATTATAATGTGATTCAATTTCTAAATGAAGTGATGATTGGAAAAAAAACATCATTAACCAAAGGATTAGCTAGCTACCGTGTCTTCTTGGATGTGAGTTTCTACATATGAAACTCTTTGAAAAATGGAATCTGTCCTTTTTTTTCCCACTGGAAAAGGAAGGGTAAAGAAGCAAAGGTCTAGGGAAGGGAAGGATGGGCTTCAGGCTGTTTCCAGGACTGTTCTCTGGAAGGAGCTGGGAGCAGTCCCCACCTGGACCCATCTTCCCTTTTCTACACCTGGGATAATTTTAAAGGAGGCAGCTTTGGAGAAAAATGTCCACAAAAGGCGCCAGAGGGCTTTGCAGCCTCCCCGGGGCTGCTTTCCTCACCCTGGAAAGGATACTGAACCAGATCCAGGCACCCTCACCTCCAGAAACCCTACAGTCTTCCTCTGTGAAAATCATGAATGCTGACGTTAGGCTGCTTTGCTCACGGACATTGGTGTACCCAGTAAAAGTGCTGCCCAATGCCAAACCTAACATGCTGTCACCACCCAGTCAGCAAGGAAATAAGAACCAGGAGTTTTATGGAATGGAGAGGGGAGAGTGTTTCTTCATCGATGGTAGGAGCAAGCTTAACAAAGACTAGAAGCACTCAGGGCTATGGCTCTTGTGGTTCCCATAGCCCTGAGCCACAGGGCTTCCTGGAGGTGCCAAAGGAGATTTTGACTCAGAGGCCAGGAATGTTCTTTCCTGTGTGGCTTACAAACTGGCCTCCCTGCAGCAGTTCTGAAATTTTTGCATAACCCACACATTCCTCTACTTCCAGCTAACCCTACTTTCCTAACTAACTCCTTCAGGAGCTCCTCTTAGTCCATGTGCGGGCTCAGTGGCTGTGCAGAGGGAAAACACTTGCCACCGTAGCCCTTAGCTCCCACTGCGCCCTCCTGTAGCCCCTCAACTTGGACAGAGACACAGGGCCCCTCACGACCTACAACTGGGCACCAGTACAAGGCTGCTACAATTCAGCATCACCACTATTCAGAGTTCCTGTGGGGATCAGATGAGATACTGGTTGGGGGAAATCACTTGTAAAGCATCTTACAAATGTCAAGTGTTACTTCACATGACACTCTAGTAAGAACACGGGCTTTAGAACCAGATAGCTCTAAATTCAAAACTCACCTGTGTGAACCTGGGCAAGTTGCTTTACTTCTGGGAGACTCACTTCCCTCATTTATAAAATGAGATTGCAAAGCAGAGAGGTATATGCCTATTGCCCCTCAGGGGCTACCAGCCACTTGTCTTCCAAGAGACTTCCTATGACAGCATTGATCACCATAACATGAACTTACCGTGGTCAAAACAGTAAAAGTCTGTCCGGTTCTCAGCCTTGGAAGCTCAACCAGCTGAGTTGGCGGCAGCCAGAGAGCAGGGCCTTGCTGAAGGCCACACTCCCTGCAGCCACGTTCTCTGGATGGGGCACAAACTCTGGATGTCTGTTATTTTAAGAAGGGAAACAGCTATCCTTGGAACCAGACCACTTGTGTCAACATGACCAATTCATGTCCTCCTTGTGGGTGGATCTTGACAAATCATCATCAGATGCCAATTTATTCATTTACCAAGAGACAGAATTGTCTCTGAGACCAGGGGGAAGAACTGAATCCATGTGACCAGTGCCTTCTCTTCCTTGAGGAAGGCTTATATAGAATGCCAGATAACAACCAGAAGGAGGCTTGTGAGCATGGAGTTAGATGAGTCCAGTGTTTAACAACAAAGGCTGAAATCCCCGGATGAGGTTCTCTCAAGAGCAACCGCCTGGCCAACAGGGCCTGAGTCCTTTCCCTCCTTCCTTGCAATAGCGCTTGGATGGACCAGCCAGCATTGCCCTCCGCATTTGTTTTTCTCTGCTTGCCCATGTCTGCTCATCCTCCTGAATAACTGACACAAGAAGAACCTGACACTGTCAGTTACGATTATGCAGTTAATCAGGTTTAATCAGGTTCTATCAGGTCTTGCAGGCCCAGGAGCAATTTATCTCTTTAAGATGATTTTATGATAAGACAGCTTTTTCCTGATCCAGCATGCACCAATCTCCCATTTTAACTGTCAGAAAACCATTTTATTTATCTTACTCCTAAGCTTTTGGGGGTCTCTCTCTGTTGTCCTCAAGAACTGATAACAGGATTAAATGCTACCACATATGAAAGTTGTCTTTCTGGCGCATAGGAGGGGCTCAGTAAAGTCTAATTCCCTGTTCTCCTTCCCTTTCATGCAATAAAACAGCTCTTAAGACTTTTTATTACAAAGATTAATAGAAAATAGCATTCTAGCCCCTAAGGAGCTCAGAGTGTGAAGAGACATGTGAGTGAATAATGTTTTGTTGAGCATAACAACCCTGTTATTCCCAGGCCCACTGGCTGTGGAAACAAATGTGGCTTTCCTGGAATTCATGTAATTCATTCTGCTGTGCTGCTAGACCTCACCTGTACAAATACAGGCCCCCACCTCCCTCAAAATCCTCCCAGAGACGTACCAGTATGCAGGTAGAGTTGCAGAGAGGAGCTTTAGTGTCTACCTTTGATCCCCATTATCTCCATTAATATTAGTCCACATCATCCCCATTCTAAATTTGAATAAATGATGTTTTCTTAATCCCAGTTAAAGTATACACAAAGCAACCTAAAGGCACCCCCCACCCAGCTGCCCACCCTCACTCTTCTCTTCCTGCCCCTTGCTGGTACTGAGTCTTTCCTACATTGTGATTCTGGAGCTTCCAAGCACCCCAGATATTTCTGAATATCCCTAGGGGGTAATTGCAAATGTTTTCTGAAATCACTCTGAGCCTTCTGCGACCAGCCCTTCTCCTATCAGGCCTGGAGCCAAGGGAAGGGGTAGGCAGCAGTGTTCCCTGACTGTTCTGCCACTTTGTCGCTACTTTCTTTGTAGAAAAATGTTGGCCCAGCCTGGCCTGGGTGCTGTCTATCCCTATGATACAGTTTCAAATTTGGAAATCTTTGTTCCTTTTAATTTTTACAGACGGTTCATGCAAACATCTCTTCAGTCTCTAAGTTCTCCCCCAGAAGAGCTCAAAAACATGATACTGGGCAGGGCAGGAGACCAGTGGGCAACATCTGGTCTAGACTCCCCTCTTCTTCTCTCTGAGCTACATCCCAATCACAATTTCCTCCCTCCTCTTTCAGCCCCCAAACCCAGAAGTCCTCTTTCATGTTGATTTATGCAAATAGCTGACCAAGAAAGTCACTGGCCACCAAGGCCGTAAGGTCCAAGGTTAGAATAGATAAAAGGGCTATAATAGAAAAATATGAACCAAGTTCTATAGTAGCAAGTGGTAGTATTGCTTTCAGTTCAGACTTCACCTTTTCCGTGAGGCTGTCCCTACCAATCCCACTCAAGTTAAGCACTTACTCTTGAATCACCCAGCGGACATTTGCCAAATACCTAATACGTGCCAGGCACAAAGTGAGGCTTCTGATGGCACGATTCCCAAGCAGAAACCTGTCCTCTAGGAGATCCTCCTCTGTTTGATCTCTATACTTGGTACTTCTCTGATTCCAAACACTAGTTTCATTATTGGCTTACACATTTGAATCCCATATTAGACTGCAACCTCTCTGAAGACCTAGCACGCACTTTAGGCTTTTGAATAAATACAGTTGTCTGAATAATAACATTTTGGTCAATGTCAGACTATATATACAATGGTGGTCCCGGAAGTTATAAAGGAGTTGAAAAATTACTATTGCCTAGTGACACTGTAGCTATCATAATGTAGTGTGACGCATGACTCATGTCTGTGGCAATGCTGGTGTAAAGAAACCTACTGCATTGCTCATTATATAAAAGTGTACAACGACGTCCTAGGCCTTCACATTCACTCACCCTTACTCACTGACTCCCAACCCAAACAACTTCCAGTCCTTCGAGATCCATTTGTGCCAAGTGTCATACGCAAGTGTTTTTTACCTTTTTAAAAAAATCTTTTATACTACATTTTCACTGTACCTTTTCTGTGTTTAGATGTGTTTATACAAACAAATACCATGGCATTAAAAAGTTGCCTGCAATATTCAATACCGTAACACACTGTACAGGTTTGTAGTCTAGGAGCAGTAGGCTAGACCATATAGCCTTGGCGTATAGTAGGCTCTACTATCTAGCTTTGTGTAAATACACTCTGATGTTCACACAGCGACAAAATCCCCTAAGGATGCATTTCTCAGAACATATCCTCATCGTTAAGTAGTGCATGACTGTAATTGAATTGTTGGCTGTGGCTGTTATCAGAATTCGTGTAGTAGATTATCTTCAATAAACTGTGTATCTCTTTCCTGGATTAGTGACAGCAAGATCCAAGTAGGAAGCAAACAAAGTGAGTCATAGGGCAGGATGCTCACAAGCATGAAAACTGTGCTTCTCTGTGCCTTGTTAAAATTGATTTTACGACTCTCCATTGATTTATGAGAATCATGACATCTATCTTATTTCATGACATAAATAATGAAAAGGAAATACATTTTTCCCTCAAATTGAAACTATCAAAATGGGTTCTTTTGGATGTTGCATATAGAGAAAAATCGATAAAGCAGACATAACTCTTATCTGTATTAGAAATGTCAACACAATACATTTGAATCTATTGGGTTTGAATATCTTAGTTTATCACTATTACTTCCCCAACATAGTCCTTCCCAAGTACCCATAAGCTACATTCAACTTAAAGACAGAATAGGTGCAGTGACTTAAGAAACGTCCACAATGGTTAGTCTGGCTTGGCGATGCTCGGGGAGCTGCCACTGGTGTTTAATTGAGAGAGTATAATGGCACCTAGGAGTCCTGGTTGACAGTGATCAAGACCTAGCTGAAACACACAAGAGAAAATATGTGTGTACATTTGTACATGGAGAGGAATTTTTATTGGCTCAATCCAAGGAAGGGCTAACAGGAAAACTGTGGTAGGGTAAGAGTTGCAGGTGGACCCAAGAACAACTGGAACCAGGAACTGAACCCCACTGAGGCTTTCACTTTCTCAATTCAAGCCAGCCAACAATACCCAAATGTTACATTGTATAGGTTTCACCATCTGAGAGATTGTTCTACATTTTTAAAATCCTAGGGAAGGATTCTAATTGGTCTGGCTTGGATCAGGTACTTCCTCCTGGTCGACTGACATCAGGTAAGACTGAGGTGGGTCTCAGGAAAAGCACAAGTTGCAGTGGGGACCTATCTACTCCCCAGAAAAAGGAGAGCTAAACAGGTAACAGGAAAATTATCTACTACCACAATGACCTTAGGCCAGAACACCCCAAAAGGCATTTGTTAAGTTGGCCTAGATGGCCTCTAACTCTATATTCTGTAGTCTTAGGATTGGAATTATTATGTTGACTCATTTATTTGACAAATAAAAATTGTGTATATTTATGGTGTACAGGTTGATGTTTTGACTTATATGTACATACATTGTGGAATGGCTAAGGTAAGCTAATTAGTGTACACATTCGCTCATTTCTCATTTTGTTGTCTGGTGAGAACACTCAAAAGCTCCTCTTGTAGCAATTTTCACATACATATGTAATATATTGTTATTGGCTATTGTCACCAAGTTGTACAACAGATTACATGAACGTATTCCTCCTATTTAACCAAAATTTAGTATAATTTGAACAACACCCCTCAGCTACTGTTTGCTCCATATCCACCACTTCCATTGCTGGCTAAATTTGGAAAATATGTGAAAAAGAAGTTAAGCAAATTCCAGAAAAAACCAAAACATCAAAAAACTCTACATTTGCCTGGCCTGTGAGGATTAATTCTCAACAATTCTGAATTCGCTGGGTGTTTAGATGACATTTTGCTTCTATTTAGCCATGTGGACAAAGCCCTGCTCCATTTGCATGGCTGCCTGTATTCTTTAACACCCTGCTTCAGAGCTCTGCTTTTGGCTCTCCTAACCTTTTTCTTCCCTCCTTTTGCAGTCGGTACACAAATATTCTTCAGATTGTCATTTTACAAAAGGTCAAAAATGAGCTGTCTGCCCCTTTGGAGAGTGGGAAGTAGTGTGCATAACCTTCATGGCTATTTTCTCCCCTTTAGTTTTGCAGCCTTAGAAAATGGCATGTAACATACCTAACCAAAGACAGCGGACTCTGTCAACAACAGGAGAAGCTCTATATGAAATTCTCGGTCTGCATAAGGGAGCATCAAATGAAGAAATTAAGAAAACCTACAGGTACAGAGTTCAATGGTGATATTTCCTGTGCTACTAGTGACAGTTATTTTGTGATTGGCAGGTGCCTCCGTTAACGACATAAGCTTCTTGCCAAGACCAGGTAATCCAAATTTTAGATCCAATGTTCCCTGCTCTACAACATAGGAGATAGGAATAGACAGTCATGACCTTGATTTTATGAAAGAATTTACTGATGATGCTGGGCCTTAGGAAAGACTTGGAGAGAGGGGAAGAGAGAGAGAGAGAAAGAGGAGAGAGAGGAGAGAGAGATAAGTGAACCAACCACAATCAATCGCTGGCTTTTTTTGTTTTCTGGGACAGAGTCTCACTTTGTTGCCCAGGCCGGAGCACAATGGCACAATCTCGGCTCACTGCAACCTGCACTTCCCAGGTTCAAGTGGCTCTCCTGCCTCAGCCTCTCGAGTAGCTGGGATTACAGATGTGTTACCACCACGCCTGGCTAATTTTTGTATTTGTTTTAGTAGAGATGGGGTTTCACCATTTTGGCCAGGCTGGTCTCGAACTCCTGACCTCATGTGGTCCACCTGCCTCGGCCTCCCAAAGTGCTGGGATTATGGGGATGAGCCACTGCACCCAGCCAATTGCTGTCATTTAACCCATCTAATATAGCATCACTGAATCAGGTAGAGAAATTCTTTTTTAATAAAAGGAGTTTGGTGAAATGCTGTATTTGTAAGCTATAGTTCTCAAGCCCTTAATTTTGATCTTTTATATTTGATCTTTTTCCAAGTTAGTTATTTTTGGAAAACTTTGAAATGTCTTTTTAAGTATCCAAGGAATAAAAATATATTAAGGGAGAAATGCTACCACTATAACCCAAAAATCTGAGGGAAGATGTTTGAAAATTAAAGTCAAAGGGACAAATCCCCAACTCAAACCACAAAAAAATCATCTCTAGACCGAAGTCTAGAAAGGCCTATCAGTGATGGAAGAAGCACTGGTTCCCGGCTTCCTGCTACATGAGACTTTCTGCCCTGGTACTGTAGTATGTCAGTCCTCCAAGGATGCCATGATGAGTTTAATGAATTTCTCAAAACTCTGATATTTGTCACACCGAGAAAGCATGTAGCCTGTCTGATACTTGTCTTGACAATATTTTGGTACCGTTTAGGACATTTTGAGATATTTAACTGTCTGTTGGATAGTTGGAGGAAGAAAGATGTGTAGACCATAACCACCTTCTGGACAGGGAAGCTGCTTTCAGAGAGAGAAAATCTTTCCAAGAGAGTGTTTGTTTGTTTGTAAGTTTAGAGATAGGGCCTCACTCTCTCACCCAGGCTGAAGTGCAGTGGTGTGATCATAGCTCACCACAGCCTCGAACTCCTGGGCTCAAACAATCCTCCTGCCTCAGGCTTCTGAGTAGCTAGGACTTCAGGCTAGCTACTCAGGCTATCAGGACCACCATGCTTAGCTAATTTTTTTAAATTACTTTTTTAAAGAGATGGATTCTTGCTTTGTTGTCCAGGCTGGTCTTGAACTCCTGGCTTTAAGCAGTACTCCCTCCTTCGTCTCCCAAAGTCCCAGGAGTGCTTTGACAGTTTCACATTGAAGCCTACAGTTGCTAAGACTCAGGTTATTTCTTACACATAGTTTTAAGTGGATGAAACAACCAGAAACTTTTGACTTGTGATACTCTACCATGAAGGACGTGGTGATAACAGAAATAGTGGAATGATTTGTGCTTGTAAACATTTAAGATTCACTTGTGGGTTTTGGTGACTGATGATTAAACTGTTTTCCAACTTGCAAGAAAAGAAATGTTGAGTACAAAATTCATTTTCTTATTGTAGAAAATTTGCAAATTACTATAAGTGAAGGCAATTATTTATCCATAATCCTACCTACCTCTGGTGATAATTATCATTGATATTTTGTTTCCGTCTAGTCTTTTTTTTCCTATCCAGAAAAGACATTTAAAAATCAGGTTGTATTCATCTATATTCTTGAACTACCTCTTTTTTTAACAAAGTCTTATGAAAATATCTTGATGTTATTAAATAGTCTGATTTTTAATGGCTGTGGTCTACGGTTATTTGGTAATTTATTTAATCACATTGTAAGTTATTATTAAACTTGTGAATTCTTTTAATTATTCCTTATACTTAATATCCTATACATATATTTTAATGCATATTTTCAATTACTTATTTTTTATGAAGTATAAAGCTATGCCTTTATATGGTAAAAGGATCAACATATAAATAAAAGTTTCAGATTTTAATCAGTTACTTCTTGATTTAGTCTTGAATTAAGTTTTTTAAACCTATCTGTTTTTTCTTACTGTACAGAAGTTTAAAATTAGGCAAATTTGTTAGTCATTTCTTTTATGATTTTTGCTTTACCTATTATGGTTTAAAGGTAACTCAGCCTTGTTACAATTACAACACTATAAAAATATTCACCTTGTCTGCTTCTAGCACATTTATGATTTTGCTTTGACACTAAATCTTTGATCCAATTGGAGTTTATTTTGGCATAAGGGATGAGGTAGAAACCCAGATCTAATATTTTTCCAAATCCTTAGCCAACTAATACTTATTGAGTCTCTATTTTTATCTATTAACGGGAAATTCTTTGGCTTTGGATTGAAACCTTCATCATGTGTTATAGGGACCGAAATGCCTTTAAGAAGCATGTTTTGAAGGAAAAATGACAATGGTGCAACTTGGAACCAAATAGCTACATGGAAATGGCAGAGTCTGATCAAAGTCAAAATCAATCTTCTAGTTTATATTTTCATTAGATGCTACCTAGAGAAAAGTCTTTGCTGTTTCATTTTGCCCTAGACCTCTCCAGAGGAGTGTGCCTGGTAGCTGCTCACCCCTGTTGTTGGACACTCCTGTTGGTGGACGTCTTTGACTGAAGATCTCTGAACTTGACTATTAAGGCTTCAGGCTGGGACACTGTGCTGGGGGAGGGGAGGTGGGCAGGAATGCCCTAATTGCATCGCCAGTTAATTGATTTTTGTAATATCTACAAAAATGTCCCCCAAAATGAGGAGGGAAAAAAAGTGACATCAAACTTCCTTGTAATTTTTAAAATCCACTTTACAAATGTGACTTTTAATTGCCTTTATTAATTTTGTAAGCTAAAATTTCAGGTCATATGTTAATTAAGGCATTAATTATGCTTAGTTGTTTGCAAGTTTAATAATTACAACATAAAGTCTATTCATGTAATTAGCGTCTTGGTATTAATTTTGTTTTAATGTCATACAAATATTATTTTTTCAGGTGATTAGGGTACTAGTATGCTGCCAAAAGCATCTACTTCTCACTAAATTACACATTTGTATTCTGCAGTTATTCAAAATGTATGAGCAAACTGGAAATCCACTGAGAATATTATTCTTATATTCTGGGATCTGGATCAAAGCAGTCATAATATAGTGAAATTAAAAGTCAGTGAAATTTAATAAACTTACCAACTGTTGAATCCATACACTACTTGGCCAATGTTACAATCTTTGGCTGTGCTTGAAAACAAGGCTGAGTTAGAAGACTTCTTTCTTCTTTTGCATTTCATGTTTCATACGATAATATATTCATCTGATTAAAATGAAAACAGGTATATAAAAAAGCCTTTCTCTTACCTCATATCCCCCAAGTCGCTTCCCCAGGGGAAACAATATTATCAATTCTTTGTGTACCCTTCTAAAGAGGTTTTACGCCTACATAAGCACATATAGGCCGGGCACAGTGGCTCATGTCTGCAATCCCAGCACTTTGGGAGGCCGAGGAGGGTGGATGACTTGAGGTCAGGAGTTCAAGACCAGCCTGGTCAACATGGCAAAACCCCATCTCTACTAAAAATATAAAAATTAGCTGGGCGTGGTGGCACATGCCTGTAATCCCTGCTGCTCGGGAGGGTGAGGCACAAGAATTGCTTGAACCTGGGAGGCAGAGGTTACAGTGAGCTGAGAGCCAAGATCATGCTGCTACACTCCAGCCTGGGTGACAGAGTAAGATTGCGTCTCAAAATAAATAAATAAACAAGTATGTATACAGGACTTCCAGTCTAAGCAAGATGGCGTAGACTTTTCTATTCCTGCTGAGCACAAATAAAAACCTTGGAAATAACACAAGAGACAATCAAAAGAGAACTCTGAAAGGTAGAAACAGGAAGGTTAGTTTGGTCCGAAATCGCAGGTCACAGCATCAGGGCATCTTATAATCCCTTCCACCCCAACCCAGCAAAAGATAACCCAGGCCCAGCTTTTCCCAATACCCGGTCTAGCAAGAGAAGGCATCCAGGTAGCCTTATTCTTCCACCAAATTGAACAGAAGTCCCGCCAACAATGCTAGACAAGCCCCACGAAACAGCAAGGGTGCCAACGGAAAGCTTCCCATCTGCATCTTGCCAGGAAAGTGCTGTCTTTTCCCACTGCCAGCCTGGGACTCCTCTCTCTCACCTAGAGACCCCACTTGAGAGAGGACAATTAGTAAGGGGGATTCCACCACAACAAACACCCAGCCCAGGAAATGCTTTTGTCCTCGCAAGCTGGAGACTCCCTTTCTTCATCTAAAGGCACCTGGCTCCTCAGCTACTACCAACAAGGAGTGTGGAGAGCCTCAGAAGCAAGAGACAAACCAAACCAACCAAAGAAGCACTGTAAAGACTCTGAAAGGTAGATTGTTGCTGGAACCACTCACAAAAGTAGGCTAGGACCTGCTTGCTAACCCTAAAGAAGGGAACTGCTTGCTAAAATAAAACAATTTAAATAGAACCCAAAATCTCCCAACATGATAGTCAAAATACCCAGATACAATCAAAATCACCCATCCTACAAAGATGCAAGAAGATCACAACTTGAATTAGAAAAGACAATCAGCTAACTCCCATGCTGAGATGAGCCAGATGCTGGAGCTGCCTGCAAAGCATTTTAAAGCAACCGTCAGAAAAAAATTAACAAGTAATGACAAATTCTCTTGAAGCAAGTAAAAAAAAAAAAATGGAAATTCTCAGTGAAGAAATAGAAG